CCTGTGTCCAACACCCAATAGTCCAAGGGGTGCAGCTCTGCTCCAACCTTAGCAGATGCGTCTCCTTGCTCCCCCTTCTCTCCCACATGGAAGAATTGGCCCGCGGTGCGCTCCTTCTTCTTCTCCGCACCGCCGTTGCCCTTCGGGTTGTTGTCGGACGAATCAGCGACCATGTTGGCGCCGTTTTTCTGGTTCCTCCGCGCGCCGCCATCCTGGTGACGATTCTGTGTTGGGTGCAAATTCACATTGCACGACATCCTGCCGTCTGTTTGTACGAGTATGCGTGTGCGAATGCATTTGCGTGTGAATGGTATGTTCGTGTGTTTGTTTGCTTTCGCAATTTTCGCTTGAAGCATTTGCAGGTACTCGCACAATGTGCGCTTCGGCATAACATTGTACGCGCTATGAACAGTACAAGCAGAAAGGACGAGCTTGCAAAGGAACCCAAGATGGAAGCTTTGCGGTTCGGCTTACTTGATTACGCAGATTCAGTTCTATCCAACTCGAAATTGTACTGTTTTGTTTGGTTGACTATAGTGTAGCAGGGCAGGCACTATAGGGGTACAATTTAGGTGAAGGTTGGATGTTGTTTGTCTGTATCTGCATGCTACAGGGCCAGGGGAAACCAGCGGAACCAGCATTTGGCTGGTTGGGCAAAGACAAAACAGGTTCTGTTTTTAGGACCTGAACCTGGTTGTTGTTTTCCCAGGTTGGAAAAACAGAACCAGAGGTTGTTTACCAGCCTACCACCTGCTGTTTTGTCCAGCCAGGTTGGTTCTGTTGCTTGGAATTATTTGGGATCATCCTTGGTTGTTCCCAGGTTGATTCCCAAGGTCCTTGCTAGCTAGAACTATTTATTCTTTATCTGTTTGTACCTAAATATAGTGAAATTGATTCAAGCGAATTCCTTCCTTGCTGGAATTTCCTTTCTACGCGGTGCGACGGCGGAATGCTACCCGAGTCAAACGCTGGTACGCTAGCACTCGAATGCTAGGCAAACGCTGTCCGAGCCATAACTTCGTAATGGCAAAACTTTTCGCGAGGCAACTTGGCTTATTTTAAAGCTCTTAGAGTGAGCTTCGATATAGGAAATTCTCAGCTTAATCCGATCAACGGTCTGCACGATACGCTGCGCGACGTTCAAGGTACTCTTGCTGTTTTGACTAAGTCCCTCTTGATCCCTCTCTCTACAAACTCGGACCCGAGGATAGGGGCTGGTCTTGTACCATGCACCCAAGGACCCTTGGAGGTGACCCCGACGAGAGGTTTTAAGTGTGATAAAGTCTTAATAGCTTGAGTTTATTAGGCCCTTACACCAACATAAATGCTCCTACAGTATCGTGCGGGTCTCCCAAGACGCTCACGTCGTCGGCGTATGCTAAGCACAGTACGCTTGGTTATGCTGTTGCTGTCGCTTTCAGGGCTAGATGGATCCCAGCCGCGAACAAAAGCGGACCTAAGGGGTCCCCTTGTCGCACCCCACGTCCACTTGTCAGCGGCTGGCTGTTGAAGCCGGCGCCTAAGAATAGTTATGACGAATTGCCGTAGGTGAGTTTGACCAGTGGGAGTAGAGGGGTGAGGGATGGGTACTGTAGCGCTGTAATAATTGTTGTTGTAAGGGCCTAACAAACTCAAGCTATTAAGACTTTATCAAACTTAAAACCTCTCCTCAGGGTCACCTCCAAGGGTCCTTGGGTGCCTGGTACAAGACCAGCCCCTATCCTCGGGTCCGAGTTTGTAGAGAGAGGGATCAAGAATGACTTAGTGAAAATAACAAGAGTACCTTGAACGTCGCGCAGCGTATCGTGCAGACCGTCGACTGGATTAAGCTGAGAATTTCCTATATCGAAGCTCACTCCAAAAGCTTTAAAATAAGCCAAGTTGCCTCGCGAAAAGTTCTGCCATTACGAAGTTATGGCTCGGACAGCGTTTGCCTAGCGTTGGAGTGCTAGCGTACTAGCACTCACTCGGGTAGCATTCCGCCGTCGCACCGCGTAGAAACGAAATTCTAGGAAGGGAGGAATTTGCTTGAATCAAATTGACTATATTCAGGTACAAACAGAGAAGGAATATATAGTTCTAGCTAGCAAGGACCTTGGGAATAAGCCTGGGAACAACTAGGGATGATCCTAAATAATTCCAAGGAACAGAACCAACCTGGCTGGACAAAACAGCAGGTGGTAGGTTGGTAAACAACCTCTGGTTCTGTTTTTCCAACCTGGGAAAACAACAACCAGGTTCAGGTCCTAAAAAACAGAACCTGTTTTGTCTTTGCCCAACCAGCCAAATGCTGGTTCCACTGGTTTCCCCTGGCCCTGTAGCATGCAGATACAGACAAACAACATCCAACCTTCACCTAAATTGTACCCCTATAGTGCCTGCCCTGCTACACTATAGTCAACCAAACAAAACAGTACAATTTCGAGTTGGATAGAACTGAATCTGCACAATCAATTCAACCGAACCGCAAAGCTTCCATCTTGGGTTCCTTTGCAAGCTCGTCCTTACTGGTTGTACTGTTCATAGCGCGTACAATGTTGTGCCGAAGCGCATAATGCGCGAGTACCTGCAAATGCTTCAAACGAAAATTGCGAAAGCAAACAAACACACGAACATTCCATTCACACCCAAATGCATTCGCACATGCATAATCATACAAACAGATGGCAGGATGTCGTGCAATGTGAATTTGCACCCAACACACTCCCCCTCACCCTGCCGGCTGCATCCCCATCATTCCATACTAGTTCATGCTCATTCCCCTCATCTGCATACAACTCCAATGAGGCTCATCCGCAAGCCTCTTGGTGAGGAAGTCTGCTGGCTGCTGGTGAGTCTTGATGTAGATCGGATTCACCGTCCCCCTCTTCACCTCCTTACGCAGCCAGTGCCACTTGATACGCATGTGCTTGTTCAGCCCATGAAGCACAGCGTTCCTGGCCATCCCAAGAGCTCTTTTGCTATCACAAAACAGCGGTGTAGCAACCTTTTGCTCCTGGCCAATCTCCTCTAACAGCCTCCTCAGCCAAATCACCTCCTTCACCCCATGGAACATCGCCATGTACTCTGATTCCACAGAAGAGAGTGCCGTCTCCGTCTGCTTCTTTGACCTCCAACTAACAGGTTCTCCTCCAACTACGCAAATGTATCCTCCCACAGATGAGGAATCCTCTTTCTCAGAGGCCCACGTAGCATCGGTAAAGCAAGTGAGAATGAGCTTGCCTTCTCCAAGCCTCTCCCCCTTCTCTTTCAGCACCTCAACCCCTTTCTGCTTCACCTGTGCAGATGCGGAGTATTGAACTCCAATGCTTGGGTGAGAGTTCAGATACTTCACCACACGCTTAGCTGCATCCAAGTGCTCCTCTGATGGATTCTCCGGGCCGCCCACGACTCCGTTTGGCCCTCGTCGGCCTGCTCCTTATCGCCTCCCGCCTCGCGATGGTGATTGCTGGCGAGCCGTGGCCATCGCCATCGCGCGCTGCCGCTGTGTCAGCGGTGAGCGGAAGGTCCCCGCCTGCGTCTGCCTCGGGTGTTGCTGTGCTGAAGCCACCAGTTCCACCTGCCCCGAAGCCATCTCCCTCTGCCGCTGGGGTCTCTCCGCCTCCGAACCCACGCCTCGTGACGAGCCCAGCTCCACCATCGCCTCTGCCCGGTCCGTCTGCCCCTGTTGTCGAGTCGGGCCCTCCGCTTCCCGTCGAGGCTCCTGCTCCTGCTGTTCCTGCTGTTCCGTCGGCTGCCCCTGCGAGCACTGTCGCATCGCCTGCTCTTGCCGATCCTACTGCTGCTCCACCTGTCCCGGGGGTCCCTGTCTCAACGCTCGCCGTCGTTGACCCTGTTGCACCTGCCGCGGCTGTTGCTTCGTCGCCGATGGCGGAGTCCGCCACCACTGGCGGCCAGGCCCCTATTGTGACGCAGGCGGTGGCCATACAGACGGCTGTCTAAGTAGCTCTCGATCCTGCTCCGCCTGTCGCCGCCTCCCCTGCTCAACGTCCGCTGTCTCCAGGCCGCCGACAGTCTCGGCCCCATTCCCCTGCGCCTCGTGACGAGCGCGCGGCGTCGCGGCGGCGCCACGATTCCCGACGGCGCCGTGGTTCTCAAGCGAACTGGCTCGCGGCTCGCGGCGGTCGTGGTGGGTGGCGGGGAGGGCGCGGTCGTGGTGGCGGCTGGGCGTATGAACAGCCCGTGACGATGGCAGATCTGCAGCGCGCCGTTTCTGCTGCGGTGCGTGAGGAGCGGAACGGGCAGGCGAGCCTGGGCAACTTGCCGCGTGTCGCTCCAACCCCCGTGTATTCTCCTCATGTTGCGCTTCCTGTTCCTACCGTTCCGCCTCCGCTGGCAGCTGCTCCGCCTCCCCCTGCTCCATGTATGCTGGGAGTGAGACAAAGCATGGTGCACACGCCACACATGCTCCTCACACACATATCCCTCAACAGCTCAGCTGTCATTGCCTCCCTCTCTTTCCCTCTCTCTCCCTCTCTCTCCTCTCTCCCTCTCACTCCCTCTCTACATACCCAATGGGTTTCTCATCTCGTTCTTTCTCCTTCTCCCCTGCCCTAACCCTCTCTTTAAAGCCCGAGTTCCACATGGCTGTCTTCAAATTCAAGATTCTTGAATATGAACACGCCAAAAACCAGGTTACCACCCGAAGTAAAGCATTCCGTCGCTTCACAGAGGAGAGGTTTCACAACTAAGATGCATGATTGACCAGCGACAAAACAAGTCTTCCGGGTGAAGTGTCAACGGGAGATGGAGCACTGCTCAGATTCAGTAAACTTGAAAACCAAATTGTACTAATGGGCAGCCATATTCAGGCAATACATGTAGTCTACTCCGCTGTTCAGCACAAGAGCGCGTGAGATCTCATTTGCGTGCGTGGCAGCGAGCTGTCTGTATTCTTGGAGCAGCCTGTTTGTTGTTCTACAAAAAAAAAAAAAAAAAAAGCCAGCATAAAGAAAAACGTCATGCGCCACGCCCATTTATGTAGGGACGATGGCGCTCACATGTACGTTCGAAGCGCAAGGATCGGGCGCTTCCCTCACATTTACGTTCGACGCACCCGCTTTCGCCGTCGCACTCCCTTCCGCGCGCCGGCACTCCCTTCCGCCCGTCGCACTCCCTTACGCCCATCACCCTCCCTCCCGCCGTCGTCCTACCTTATGCCCGTCGCCCTCCCTAGCGCCCGTCGCACTCCCTTCCGCCATCGCCCTCCCTTCCGCCCGTCGCCAGTCGCCATGCCTTCCGCCCGTCGCCCTCCCTTCCGCCCATCGCCCTCTCTTCTGCCCGTCACCCTCCCTTCGTCTCGTCACCCTCCCTTCCTCCCATTGCCCTCCCAACCACCCGTCGCCCTACCTTCCCCTCATCGCACTCCTTTCCGCCCGTTGCCCCCCTTTGTCACGCCGCGCTCCCTGCTGCTCATTGCCCTTCCGCTCTTCCCCTCGCAATCCCCGTATCTCTCTCCCCTCATCGATCATCACTGTCGCCATCCCTCCCTTCTCCCTTCCCAACTCGTTTGGATCAGTCACGCCCCCTTTCCAACCCGCACACACCCGTTCCTTCCCCCAATGATCACCATTCACCACCACACTGCTTACCTCTCTCATTCCCCACATCATTTCCTGGCTCCCCACCGTTCTTCGGATAGCTCTTTCCCCGGCATCTCCCCCACTCCCCTCGTCCCGCTTCCCCCCATCCTCTTCCCTGTTTCCCCTGGGTTTCCCGCGCTGCTTCCCCCCATCCCCTTCCCTACTTCCCCACATCCCCTTCCCTGCTTGCCCCATCCCCTTCCCTTCTTCCCCCATCCTTTTACCTGCTTCCTCCCATCTCCTTCCCTACCTCCTCCTATCCCTTCCCTTCTTCCCCCCATCCCATTACCTGCTTCCCCCCATCCCCTTCCCTGCTTCCCCCCATCCCCTTCCCTGATTCCCCCCATCCCCTTCTTTGCTTTCCACCATCCCCTTCCCTGCTTCCCCGTGTCCCCGTCTCTGCTTCCCCCCATCCCCTTCCCTTCTTACCCCCATCCCCTTTCCTGCTTCCCCCCATCCCCTTCCCTGCTTCCCCACGTCCCCTTCCTTGCTTCCCCCCATCCCCTTTCCTACGTCCCAACATCCCTTTCCCTGCTTCCCCCCATCCCCTTCCCTGCTTCCCCCCATCCCTTTCCCTGCTTTCCCCCATCCCCTTCCCTGCTCTCCCATGTCCCTTTTGTTGGTGTAAGGGCCTGATAAACTCAAGCTATTAAGACTTTATCACACTTAAAACCTCTCCTCGGGGTCACCTCCAAGGGTCCTTGGGTGCTTGGTACAAGACCAGCCCCTATCCTCGGGTCCGAGTTTGTAGAGAGAGGGATCAAGAGGGACTTAGTCAAAACAGCAAGAGTACCTTGAACGTCGCGCAGCGTATCGTGCAGACCGTAGATCGGATTAAGCTGAGAATTTCCTATGTCGAAGCTCACTCTAAGAGCTTTAAAATAAGCCAAGTTGCCTCGCGAAAAGTTCTGCCATTACGAAGTTATGGCTCGGACAGCGTTAGCCTAGCGTTGGAGTGCTAGCGTACTAGCGTTGACTCGGGTAGCATTCCGCCGTCGCACCGCGTAGAAAGGAAGTTCCAGCAAGGAAGGAATTCGCTTGAATCAATTTCACTATATTCAGGTACAAACAGAGAAGGAATAAATAGCTCTAGCTAGCAAGGACCTTGGGAATCAACCTGGGAACAACCAGGGATGATCCCAAATAATTCCAAGCAACAGAACCAACCTGGCTGGACAAAATAGCAGGTGGTAGGTTGGTGAACAACCTCTGGTTCTGTTTTTCCAACCTGGGAAAACAACAACCAGGTTCAGGTCCTAAAAACAAAACCTGTTTTGTCTTTGCCCAACCAGCCAAATGCTGGTTCCGCTGGTTTCCCCTGGCCCTGTAGCATGCAGATACAGACAAATAACATCCAACCTTCACCTAGATTGTACCCCTATAGTGCCTGCCCTGCTACACTATAGTCAACCAAACAAAACAGTACAATTTCGAGTTGGATAGAACTGAATCTGCGCGATCAAGTAAGCCGAACCACAAAGCTTCCATCTTGGGTTCCGTTGCGAGCTCGTCCTTTCTGCTTGTACTGTTCATGGCACGTATAATGTTATGCCGAAGCGCACATTGTGCGAGTACCTGCAAATGCTTCAAGCGAAAATTGCGAAAGCAAACAAACACACGAACATACCATTCTCACGCAAATGCATTTGCACACGCATACTCGTACAAACAGACGGCAGGATGTCGTGCAATGTGAATTTGCACCCAACACACTCCCCCTCAGCCTGCCGGCTGCATCCCCATCATTCCATACTAGTTCATGCTCATTCCACTCATGCGCACACAACGCCAATGAGGCTCATCCGCAAGCCTCTTGGTGAGGAAGTCTGCTGGCTGCTGGTGAGTCTTGATGTAGATCGGATTCACCGTCCCCCTCTTCACCTCCTTACGCAGCCAGTGCCACTTGATACGCATGTGCTTATTGAGCCCATGAAGCACAGCGTTCCTGGCCATCCCAAGAGCTTCCTTGCTATCACAAAACAGCGGCGTAGAAACCTTTTGCTCCTGGCCAATCTCCTCTAACAGCCTCCTCAGCCAAATCACCTCCTTCACCCCATGAAACATTGCCATGTACTCTGACTCCACGGAAGAGAGTGCTGTCTCCGTCTGCTTCTTTGACCTCCAACTAACCGGTCCTCTCCCAACTACGCAGATGTATCCTCCCAAAGATGAGGAATCCTCCTTCTCAGAGGCCCACGTAGCATCGGTAAAGCAAGTGAGAAAAAGCTTGCCTTCTCCAAGCCTCTCCCCTTTCTCTTTCAGTACCTCAACCCCTTTCTGCTTCACCTGTGCAGATGCGGAGTATTGAACTCCAATGCTTGGGTGAGAGTTCAGATACTTCACCACACGCTCAGCTGCATCCACCTGCTCCTCTGATGGATTCTGCACTACCCTGGCCAGCTGCCCAACCGAGAAAGAGATGTCGGGCCTCGTGTGAACTGCTGCATACAAGAGGCTGCCCACCAAGGACTGAAATTGGTGCTGCTCCTCGGCTTCAACCCCTTCATCTTCTGCAGCTTTCACAAGCTTGAATTCTGCTGGCAGGGGAGTTGCAACCTTGCGCTCATTCTCAATTCCGTACTTCTCCCCAAGCTCCTTGATGAACTTCTCTTGGTGCAGCTTAAACCACCTGTGATCCAGATCCCTCTCCACGTGCATCCCGAGGTAGTACTTTACCTCCCCAAGGTTCTTGCACTTGAAGTTCTCCATCAGCTGCTGCTGCACCTTCTGGATCTCCTTCATGCTGCTGCTAAAGAGAAGAATGTCGTCCACATAGACCAGAAACAGCACCAGCTTCTCCCCCTCCCCCTTGAGAAAGAGGCTCTCATCACAGCTGCTTCAGCAAAGGCATTGCCACATGCCCCAAAGGTCGGTGTGCAGTTGCCCAATCTGTCTCCCCAGATCTGGCCGACACTTTCACACCAACCCCTCCAACGGTGTTGCACTCCCCCTGGGATGCAGACCCCTCTCCAGCCTGCCCCCCACCGTGCCACGCCAGCGCCGGCAGCTGCCACATAGATCTGTACACGTCCTTGCTCTCGTGCAGATCCCAAAGCACCCGATTGCCCAGCTTCCCCTTACAAGTGCGTGCCCCATCCGTGCTAGTGCTCACCCCAGACTTGCCAAGCTTACGGAGGGAGATGAGGTTGGCCTTGAGTTCAGGAACAAGAAGAACGTCGTGCAGCACCACCGGCTTGCCATCCGCTCCCTTAAACGCAGCTCGTCCCGCACCAGCCACCTTCAACGCGTGTCCAGAGGCGGAGCACACCTCGTTGATCGGAGCAGCTCGTACGTCGTCTAGCAGGTCCTTGCGCGGCGTCATTGTCCAAGCAGCGCCTGTGTCCAACACCCAAAAATCCAGGGGGTGCAGCTCTGCTCCAACCTTAGCAGATGCGTCTCCTTGCTCCCCCTTGTCTCCCATATGGAAGAATTGGCCCGCGGTGCGCTCCTTCTTCTCCTCCGCACCGCCGTTGCCCTTCGGGTTGTTGTCGGACGAATCAGCGACCATGTTGGCGCCGTTTTTCTGGTTCCTCCGCGCGCCGCCATCCTGGTGACGATTGTGGGGGGTCCATCCATCGGGTTTCTTATAGCACAAAAACCAGGGGTGCCCTTCCTTCTCACAATACCAGCAACTCCCTTTCATTTTGCCACCAGCACCCGACTTGCCCCCACGTCCAGATTTCGCACCGCGACCCCAACCGGTACCTCCTTGTTGGTCGTTGGAGTCGTCGTCTTTCTTTGCACCGCGTCCAGCACCACCGAAGCCACGTCCTCTGCCACGTCGGCTCCCTTGCATCCCGTAGCCGCTGCTGCCGTCGTCTCCACCCCTCAGTTGGCGGCGACGGAAGTCCTCCTCCAGAATCTTTGTCCGCACCCACTCGAGCGTCCACAAGCTCTGGTTCTGCGGCAGGCTCAATCCGCTCGTGAATTGAAGCCAAGATTCCGGCAGCAGCGAGAGCATCTTCAGGCACTTGGTCTGCTCTGGGTAGGTGATTCCCGCGGTCGCCAACTTCGCGTAGAGATCACGCATCTTGTCCAGGATAGGTTGCACCGGCTCTCCCTCGCTTAGGCGCAACGCGGACAGCTTCCTCTCCATCATGAGCGTCGCAGCGACGGAGGTAGGGGCGTGCAGCTCCTTCAACACCGTCCACGCCTTCGGACCGCACTCAACCTCCGGCAGCAGGTGCATGACGTGGTGACGCTGGTTCAGCTCCAAACTCTGCGACATCAAGTAGTAGCCAGCCGAGGCGCGCTCGTCCCAATCTTCCTGAAGGGCGGGGTCACTCGGTCTAGGCTCCTCCCCAATCATTAGTTTCAGCAATCCGATGTGACGGAAATAAAGTTGCATTTTCCAGGCCCAATCATCATAGCCCTCACCATTGAACTTCTCGACGGTGAAATTCTTCAGCACCTCCTTGATCAGCGAGCCCTGGCTTGTTCGCGCTCCCCTTGGCGCAGAAACACCAGAATCATGGCTGCCGCTACGATCTTGGGCTGAAGATTCACCAGCTACCGCCGAGGTGTTCCCCGCCATAGCTACCTATATCGAGGATCACTATAACGCAGCTCTGATACCAGCTTGTTGGTGTAAGGGCCTGATAAACTCAAGCTATTAAGACTTAATGAAACTTAAAACCTCTCCTCGGGGTCACCTCCAAGGGTCCTTGGGTGCCTGGTACAAGACCAGCCCCTATCCCCTTCCTTGCTTCCCCCCATCCGCTTCCCTGCTTCCCCATGTCCCCTTCCCTACTTCCCCCCATCGCCTCCCCTACGTCCCAACATCCCTTTCCCTGCTTCCCCCCATCCCCTTCCCTGCTTCCCCCCATCTCTTTCCCTGCTTTCCCCCATCCCCTTCCCTGCTTTCCCATGTCCCTTTCTCTGCTTCCCCCCATCCCGTTCCCTTCTCTCCCCCATCCCTTTACCTGCTTCCCCGTGTCCCCTTCCGTACTTCCCCGTGTCCCCTTTCCTGCTTCCCCGTGTCCCCTTCCCTACTTCCCCCCATCCCATTCCCTTCTTTCCCATGTCCCTTTCCCTGCTTCCCCCCATCCCCTTCCCTTCTTCCCCCCATCCCTTTCCCTGCTTCCCCCCATCCCCTTCCCTTCTCCCCCCCATCCCTTTCCCTCCTTCCCCCCATCCCCTTCCCTGCTTCCCCCCATCCCTTCCCTTGCTTCCCCCGATTCCCTTCTGTGCTTCCCCATGTCCCTTTCCCTGCTTCCCCCCATCCCCTTCCCTGCGTCCCCTCATCCCTTTCCTTGCTTCCCCCAATCTCCTTCCCTGCTTCCCCCCATCCCCTTCTATGCTTCCCCCTATCCCCCCTGCTTGCCCCCATCCCCTTCCCTGCTTCCCCTCATCCCCTTCCCTTCTTGCCCCCATCCCTTTACTTGCTTTCTGGTGTCCCCTTCGCTGCTTCCCCATGTCCCCTTCCCTGCTTTCCCATGTCCCCTTCCTTGCTTCCCCGTTTCCCCTGCCCTGCTTCCCCGTGTCCCCTTCCACAGCACTCACACGCACCACTTGTGTGCTCTTCATATTCTCCCTCAGATTCCTCCTCACATGTCTTGTGGAACCCTGGTCACCACTTTGCCTGTCTACATGCCTGCCGGCGTTTGATCAGTGTGCGTGTCTTTCTGCCTACATGCATGCCTGCGTGTGTGCATGTTTGTGTGCATGCATGCGTTAGTAGTATTTGTATGTGTGTGCATGTGCACGTCCACCCAAGACCTGATGCCATTCATCGACCGTGACCCTGTGGGAGGCGCACCCGGTGCTGGTGGGGAGGTGTGGCCGCCCAAGAAGCTCCATGACGTGCCCACAGAGAAAAAGTGGGAGCGGGGGTGGGGGCAGTGGGGAGCTGCGAGGAGGACGAGGAAGAGCAGCCACGCCTAGCGCTGGTGGCTTCCATGGAGGGGCATACAGAGGAAGAGGGGGCCGAGGCGGGAAGGTGGGCAAGGTGGGGAGCAAGGTGGGGACATGGGCCCATGCAGGGTAGCAGGGACGACGCCTCTCGTGCGGCAGAGGGTCAGGAGCAACAAGGGGCGTGGGTAGGAGGGGCAGCGGACGAGGAGGTTGAGTTACCAAAGGAGCGCGTAGTGCGCATTCCAGCCTGCCGTCGCATTGCCATTCGTTGCCCGGATGGCACTCGGCTGGAGTGTCGTTTCCGGGCCCAGGCACTCTCTCCATGTGCTGTCCCAATCCTTCAAAACAACCTGCTTGCCACCCATCCCACGCCTCTGCACAGTCCTTCCTGCCATGCTCATTCCCTTGCTCTCCCACTCACTCCCTTGTTCTCCCACGCCCCACTCCCCAGTCCCCCAGATGCTGGGAAGCAGATCTACGACTGGACCCATCCCGAGGTGAACCCCTCGGCGCAACCCTCGGCGCACCGCCACGCCGGTCACGGAGCATCAGCAGCCCATGGCACACTTCGGCGGGTTATGCGAGATAAGGCCCGCAGCTGGCAGAGCTGCGAGGCAGCCTTCTCTCGAGACTGCCTTCAACCTCCCCTGCTGCCCTAGACTTGCGCCCGATAAGGCCTGCATTTGATGTTGCCGCCCTCCCTGCGTGTAAGGATGGATTGGCAGCTGCAATGCGTGACAGGCAACACTGTGCACACAAATGTTTTGATTCTGGATCATGGGGCACAGAAATTTGTGTTGGGTGCAAATTCACATTGCACGACATCCTGCCGTCTGTTTGTACGAGTATGCGTGTGCGAATGCATTTGCGTGTGAATGGTATGTTCGTGTGTTTGTTTGCTTTTGCAATTTTCGCTTGAAGCAGTTGCAGGTACTCGCACAATGTGCGCTTCGGCATAACATTGTACGCGCTATGAAGTGTACAAGCAGAAAGGACGAGCTCGCAAAGGAACCCAAGATGGAAGCTTTGTGGTTCGGCTTACTTGATTGCGCAGATTCAGTTCTATCCAACTCGAAATTGTACTGTTTTGTTTGGTTGACTATAGTGTAGCAGGGCAGGCACTATAGGGGTACAATTTAGGTGAAGGTTGGATGTTGTTTGTCTGTATCTGCATGCTACAGGGCCAGGGGAAACCAGCAGAACCAGCATTTGGCTGGTTGGGCAAAGACAAAATAGGTTCTGTTTTTAGGACCTGAACCTGGTTGTTGTTTTCCCAGGTTGGAAAAACAGAACCAGAGGTTGTTCACCAACCTACCACCTGCTATTTTGTCCAGCCAGGTTGGTTCTATTGCTTGGAATTATTTGGGATCATCCCTGGTTGTTCCCAGGTTGATTCCCAAGGTCCTTGCTAGCTAGAGCTATATATTCCTTCTCTGTTTGTACCTGAATATAGTGAAATTGATTCAAGCGAATTCCTTCCTTGCTGGAATTTCCTTTCTACGCGGTGCGACGGCGGAATGCTACCTGAGTCAAACGCTAGTACGCTAGCACTCGAACGCTAGGCTAACGCTGTCCGGGCCATAACTTCGTAATGGCAGAACTTTTCGCGAGGCAACTTGGCTTATTTTAAAGCTCTTAGAGTGAGCTTCGATATAGGAAATTCTCAGCTTAATCCGATCGACGGTCTGCACAATACGCTGCGCGACGTTCAAGGTACTCTTGCTGTTTTGACGAAGTCCCTCTTGATCCCTCTCTCTACAAACTCGGACCCGAGGATCGGGGCTGGTCTTGTACCAGGCACCCAAGGACCCTTGGAGGTGACCCCGAGGAGAGGTTTTAAGTGTGATAAAGTCTTAATAGCTTGAGTTTATTAGGCCCTTACACCAACAAGCTGGTATCAGAGCCTGCGTTATAGTGACCTCGTTATAGGTAGCTATGGCGGGGAAGACCTCGGCGGTAGCTGGTGAATCTTCAGCCCAAGAACGTAGCGGCAGCCATGATTCTGGTGTTTCTGCGCCAAGGGGAGCGCGAACAAGCCAGGGCTCGCTGATCAAGGAGGTGCTGAAAAACTTCACCGTCGAGAAGTTCAATGGTGAGGGCTATGATGATTGGGCCTGGAAAATGCAACTTTATTTCCGTCAGATCGGATTGCTGAAACTAATGATTGGGGAGGAGCCTAGACCGAGTGACCCCGCCCTTCACGAAGATTGGGACGAGCGCGCCTCGGCTGGCTACTACTTGATGTCGCAGAGTTTGGAGCTGAACCAGCATCACCACGTCATGCACCTGCTGCCGGAAGTTGAGTGCGGTCCGAAGGCGTGGACCGTGTTGAAGGAGCTGCACGCCCCTACCTCCGTCGCTGCGACGCTCATGATGGAGAGGGAGCTGTCCGCGTTGCGCCTAAGCGAGGGAGAGCCGGTGCAACCCAACCTGGACAAGATGCGTGATCTCTACGCGAAGCTGGCAATCGCGGGAATCACCTACCCGGAGCAGACCAAGTGCCTGAAGATGCTCTCGCTGCTGCTGGAATCGTGGCTTCAATTCACGAGCGGATTGAGCCTGCCGCAGAACCAGAGCTTGTGGACGCTCGAGTGGGTGCGGACGAAGATTCTGGAGGAGGACTTCCGTCGCCGCCAACTGAGGGGTGGAGACGACGGCAGCAGCGGCTACGGGATGCAAGGGAGCCGACGTGGCAGAGGACGTGGCTTCGGTGGTGCTGGACGCGGTGCAAAGAAAGACGACGACTCCAACGACCAACAAGGAGGTACCGGTTGGGGTCGCGGTGCGAAATCTGGACGTGGGGGCAAGTCGGGTGCTGGTGGCAAAATGAAAGGGAGTTGCTGGTATTGTGAGAAGGAAGGGCACCCCTGGATGGACCCCCCAGAATCGTCACCAGGATGGCGGCGCGCGGAGGAACCAGAAAAACGGCGCCAACATGGTCGCTGATTCGTCCGACAACAACCCGAAGGGCAATGGCGGTGCGGAGAAGAAGAAGGAGCGCACCGCGGGCCAATTCTTCCATGTGGGAGACAAGGGGGAGCAAGGAGACGCATCTGCTAAGGTTGGAGCAGAGCTGCACCCCCTGGACTATTGGGTGTTGGACACGGGCGCTGCTTGGACGATGACGCCCCGAAAAGGACCTGCTGGACGACGTACGCGCTGCACCCATTAACGAGGTGTGCTCTGCCTCTGGACACATGTTGAAGGTGGCTGGTGCGGGACGAGCTGCGTTTAAGGGAGCGGATGGCAAGCCGGTGGTGCTGCACGATGTTCTCCTCGTCCCCGACCTGAAGGCCAACCATATCTCTCTCCGTAAGCTTGGCAAGGCTGGGGTGAACACCAACACAGATGGGGCTCGCACTTATAAGGGGAAGCTGGGCAATCGGGTGCTTTGGGATCTGCACGAGAGCAAGGACGTGTACAGATCTATGTGGCAGCTGCTGGCGCTGGCGTGGCACGGTGGGGGGCAGGCTGGAGAGGGGTCTGCATCCCAGGGGGAGTGCAACGCCGTTGGAGGGGTTGGTGTGAAAGTGTCGGCCAGATCTGGGGAGACAGATTGGGCAACGGCATACCGACGTTTGGGGCATGTGGAAATGCCTTTGCTGAAGCAACTGGAGAAGGATGGAGCCGTTAAAGGCTTGGAGCTGAACGGACAACCACCCGATGATAACTGTGAAATTTGCGTCCTTTCAAAGTTCACCCATTTCCCCTTCCATAGTGTGGCTGGCAGGAGCAAAAAGCCGTTGGAGCTGGTCCACATGGACTTGGTGGGGCCGCTGCCGGTGCAAGGGCACAAGGGGGAGCGGTATTTCCTAACCATTGTGGATGACTGGAGCAGGCTAATGTGGGCGTATCCGCTGAAGCAGAAAGACCACGCCGCCTCCACGATTCGAGACTATTGGCTGCCGTTCGTGGAGAAGCAGGCGGAGTGTGTGGTGAAGCGGATAAGGACAGATCGGGGTGGTGCGTTCCTTGGAGCTGAGATGACGGCCTGGCTCAAGAAGCAGGGCATCCAGAGGGGACCACGGCTTACACCCCACAGTCGCCGGTGGACATGCTGAGGGTGTTTGGTTGCATGGCAGTCGCCCACGTCCCCAAGACCTACCGCAGTAAGTTGGGGGCGAATGCAATCTGGTGTGTGCATTTGGGGCTGGCTGCTGAGAGCAAGAGATGGCTGCTGTGGGAACCTTCCAAGGGTGTGTTGTTTGACAGCAGGGATGTGAAGTTTGTTGAGGGCATGATGTATGGGAGCTGGGAGAAACAGCCGGAGGCCAGGGTGTCCCAGCAGATGGAGCAGATCACCATGCAGCTGGACCTGACTCCTGGTGTGTAGGAGGAGGGAGAGGAGGCAGCTGCAGAGGGTGGTGATAAAGAGAAGGTGCAGGAGGCACCTGCTGGTGGAGGTGATAATATGGAGACTAGCGGTAGCACTAGTGGAGCTGCTGGATCCGAGGGAGGAGAGCAGCAGCAGGGAAAAACTAAGAAGCCGAAGGGTGTCGTTATGAAGGGATGGGAGACACCCGTCTCCAGGCCAGGACGTACCCGTATGGCTACTAAGAAGCTGACTGCAGGAGCTGATGTAGCGGAGCAGCAGCTTGGGACTGAGGAGGCATTGCTGATTCTACCGCATGGCTATGACCCGGATGAGGAGGATGAGCCTGCCTACTGTTTTCTTGCCCCTGCACCAGAGGAACCAGCTAGTATGGAGAAAGGCATTAGCTGGACCAGATAGGGAGAAGTGGCTGGTTTCCTGGGATGCTGAGTACCAGAGCCTGCTAGAGAATGGGACATGGGAGCTGGTGGTGCTGCCTGAGGGGAAGAAAGCCGTACAGTGCAAGTGGGTGCTAAGGATCAAGACCGATGACAAGGGACAGGTCGCCATCTACAAGAGTAGGCTGGTGGCTAAGGGGTTTATGCAGAAGGAGAAGCGGGACTTCAATGAGATCTTTGCTCCCACTGCCAAACCCCCTACCCTCCGTGTCTTGTTGGCAGATGCAACCGTTAGTGGGAAATTCATCATTCAGATGGATATATCAACGGCATTCCTCAATGGGATTTTAGAGGAGGATGTGTACATGACGCAGCCACCTGGGTATGAGGATGGTATGGGCAGGGTGTGCAAGCTGAAAAAGTCCATCTACGGCTTGAAGCAGGCGCCACGCTGCTGGTACCAGAAGTTGGCAGCTGTTTTAGAGGAGATGGGATTCAGGACCAGCAGCTGTGATAAGAGCCTCTTTCTCAAGGGGGAGGGGGAGAAGCTGGTGTTGTTTCTGGTCTACGTGGACGACATTCTTCTCTTCAGCAGCAGCATGAAGGAGATCCATAAAGTGCAGCAGCAGCTGATGGAGAACTTCAAGTGCAAGAACCTTGGGGAGGTAAAGTACTACATCGGGATGCACGTGGAGAGGGATCTGGATCACAGGTGGTTGAAACTGTACCAGGAGAAGTTCATCAAGGAGCTGGGGGAGAAGTATAGGATTGAGAATGAGCGCAAGGTTGCAACTCCCCTGCCAGCAGAATTCAAGCTTGTGAAAGCTGCAGAGGATGAAGGGGTTGAAGCCGAGGAGCAGCAGAAATTTCAGTCCTTGGTGGGCAGCCTCTTGTATGCAGCAGTTCACACGAGGCCCGACATCTCTTTCTCGGTTGGGCAGCTGGCCAG